AGCGCAATGGGAAACTTCGCCTACTACTTTCCCTGTTCTATAACGGGCGAGTTATACGTCCGAAGCAAGGGGACGAATTTGTCACACGGTATATACGACTCGCATCGATAAAAGTTAACGCGCTTTTGCTTGATAAAATATGACATCCATATTCATCGTCGTCGAATGCGCGCGGCTTGAAAGCGCAGCGAATTGCAGTTCTTGCGAATCGAATAAAAAGTTATATATCGTTATCAACCTTGTAAAGTATATTGAAAAAAAGCCCATTCGTCCTCGAATTTATTATGAAATTTACTTGCTAAATCGTTCACTTCTCAACTGATGTCAAATAGTTTTAGATCCACTCGTATATCTATCTTTTCAATTTATGAGCTCGTCAAATCAAACGAAGAGACGGATCTCGAAAAAATTTCAATCAGTTTCGGATGCGCCGTCCTCGAGACGAAGCGCGCACGTTTGCACGTGAAAGCGTGAATCTCGTTCAAGAGTCGCGCGAACGATGGGATGGCGGAATAAGGGCTCCTCCGTGATAACGTTACAAGTCGAAAAGTAAGTTCGCGTCGCAGCAGCAGACGATGAGAGAGATCCGAACGAGATATCGTAGGAATTATGATCCCCCGGAGATACGAGAGTCGACCTCCATAGAAACTCCTAGGTTTGACGGTGTAACTTCGCGACATCTGTGTGCTCCAGGACTTCCCTGACTAAATAATTCGCTCGGTTCCCGATAACGGGCCTGGTTACTGGCTCGGTTCGGACAGGCCGCGTTATATCTATCGCGAAAAACTGCTTCTCGGCAATTACGAGCGACATATATCGGCCGCCGGCTCTCTCTCGCACATCCCTATTCGCCCCGCATTATATCTGCGAAATGTACAGGGTGTCTTCGACACTTTTCCATGATTGGGACGCATTTTTGGCCGACAAAAATTTCTACGCTTGTGAAAAAAAACTTGCAAAATAATATTATCATAATGTGTTCCTTAAGGTGGACCCTAAACGTCCTTGAAGTCTGTGATTTCCGTCCTGTTTTATCGACAAAATGTGAGGTTAGATTCTAAGCATTCATAATTCTGCAACCAAGATATGAATTGTACAGATTGATCAATCTTTTTCCTGTACAAATTAAAGTATTAATATTAATAAAGAGTGAAGCGTTCTACTTTTAGGTAAAAAAACAATCCGTATAGCCAATAAATAGATTTATAGTTTATCCAATCTCGCATTTTGTCGATAAAACAGGAAGGAAACTATAGGATCCTCTTCAATACACGAATATAAAAATGAGATCCTTCTTTAAATTACAATACATTTATTTACCGTGTAAAAAATTATGCTAAGACAATTTCAATTAATATTAATTAGTATTATTGAAATGATATTAATTCTTCATATATATATATTCAATTGATATTAATCCTTCGGTTTTCAATGAATTATTGACGTCTTAATTTGTAGGAGGTAATACTCTTATAATTAGTTAATTACAGAGGAAGGTACGTACTAGACACTGTGTATATGAGCCTCGTGAATCATATCCTCTCTTTCCTTCTAATCGGGACGAAGATAACGCCGCCGTTTTCCGCCGTCTATCGTCTATTACGGCGTGTCCCGATTGTAATAGCTCCTCGGGATACTCAGATCGCCGTAATTTGATCCCCGTTTTAAGATAAGGGCCATATTAACTGCGCGATGGCGTAAGCTGCTCCATCCCCTTCGCGATTTACTTTTCGTTGTAAGTATGTGGTTGGACAGCGCGAGATTCGACCGCATCACCGATGCCATTAACATTCTAATCACTCGCACAATGTCGCCCGACGCTAATTATGCTTAACTCGATTTCCTTTCCTATCTATGCCGTAGTTATAGGGTTATTATTTGTGAGTGAAGAGGCAATTTTTGAGGAAAGTTAGTTCATTCTCGACCGTAAAATGAAATTCCTTCAAACTATACGTTGCAATGATACAGTCTCTAGTTTCATTTTATTTTACACTGTTGGAATTTTTATATTTGATTTTATCTTTGAAAATCTTTCGAATAATTCCTAGCCTTTTTTTATTTTCTATAATTGGAGATATTCTTTTTTCTTGTTGGAACTGTAGAAAAAAAAAAAATTATATATATATATATATATATATAAAATTGCAAAAAGCTCCTCTAAAATACATTATATAAAAATTCCTGAATTGTGAAAGCTCTTTCGATTAACTTTGTCGGACCGACTCGCAGATGCGCGAGCTATGCAGTTACACGCGTAAATGCATCTGCTGCGTCGCGTAACACGAGGCCGTGTTTTTCTATAATTGGAGATATTCTTTTTTCTTGTTGGAAACTGTAGAATGAAAAAAAGATTTATATATCTATAAAAAATTGCAAAAAGCTCCTCTAAAATACATTACATAAAAATCCCTGAATTGTGAAAGCTCTTTCGATTAACTTTGTCGGATTGACTCGCAGATGCGCGAGCTATGCAGTTACACGCGTAAATGCATCTGCTGCGTCGCGTAACACGAGGCCGTGGTTAACGTTACGCGTTCAATATTGATGCGGCTCTCTCTGGTGTCCGGCGCACTTGCGGGTAATTTGTAAATGCAAAAAGAAGCAGTCACGGCAAAAATACTCTCGTGGGGCCGGAAGGTGCGGACGCGTTTTATGCGCGACGTTAAATTTCGCCCCGACTTCCAATTTCCAACTTTGAACACTCTCCGTTGCTTTATAAAAAAAAAAAAAATTGCACGCGAGAGAATTTAATATATAGTTTCGATTAGACTCTCTTTCTCCCTCCCATTTTTTTTCCCCAGATCCTGTCGCGACGTTCTCGAAGCGCGCGAGCCCTGATAGGCACGTTTTTTGAATGGCAGAGACGCGGCCAAAATTGATGGTTAATTCAAAACCACCGCGGGGACTGCAACTGAATTTGACCGAGGCAAATAACGGGGCGTGGTGCGGGCAACAGGGTAGAGGAATCACATGGGTGCGCTGGTATGCGGTGAATAGGGGTAGGATAGGATGCGCCGGGGATGGACCAGGTTGATTCGCGGGCTGCAGCTGTAAACACGAATAATGGAGAGTACCGATCGGTAAATTGTGCGCTCCGGTTTCGTCGACGGCGAGCAACTATATATATAGGAACCGTTCTCTATCTCTTTCTCGTCGTCCCCAACCCCCATCTGTCCTTTTATATCTCTCGCGTTGTGTCCTCTCGCTGACTTTTTTTTTTTTACATTCTCTCGCGCGCGCGATGCATCTCCCGGCGATTACGCACGCGTGTTTGCTCGCCGACCGGGCGGATATACGCTTCGCGATGCAACGCAACGCGCGCGCCTACGGGAAGTCCCTCGAAAACCCCGTCAATCTCAATTTTAACAACCAATCTGGTCATTCATCGATCAATCTCGAGTTTTCATCCCCGATGTCTGAATGTTGGAAAAAATGGATTTGTGAAAATTCATACACTTCCCTCAAACGCTCTGTACACTATATATTATATTGCATATAGTGTATATGTAAATGTCTTGTTAAACGGGACTCTTCCGGGCCTTGTTTATTAACAGATAAATTTGTTTCTGTCGTAAATAATCTAAAAGTGTGCAACCATACTAGTATATTTTGGAACCAAACACAGGAACGACTGTGATAAATTGTTACACGAGTATTTAGGCGTAAATGCAAAAATATCATGATAAAACAATTTTTCCGGATCTTGTTTCTGGATAAATAATTTTTTTTCGACCGTTACAAGTCTCAAGGCATATCGCTATGCTTGTAATTTTTGGAACCAGAAGTCAAAATGGCCACAATTAGCATCCCCTTAAAGAAAATATATAATATTTTTTATATTTGTGTAAAATATATATATATATATATAGACGCATACATATATAATATGTAAGGCACTTGAAGAAAGTATATGAATTTTCGTATATATAGCTTCTTCCTAATTACACATCTGAGAAAGCGGAATGAAGAAATAAATAAAAATAGATTTTCTCTACCTTTCGGGAAAATGAAAAATGTGTGTACGCGATATGAAGTATATATACCTATCTTGTTAAACGGGACTCTTCCGGGCCTTGTTTATTAACAGATAAATTTGTTTCTGTCGTAAATAATCTAAAAGTGTGCAACCATACTCGTATTTTTGGAACAAAACACAGGAACGATTGTGATAAATTGTTACACGAGTATTTAGGCGCAAATGCAAAAATATCATGATAAAACAATTTTTCCGGATCTTGTTTCTGGATAAATAATTTTTTTTCGACCGTTACAAGTCCCAAGGCATATCGCTATGCTTGTAATTTTTGGAACCAGAAGTCAAAATGGCCACAATTAGCATTCCCTTAAAGAAAATATATAATAAGATGCAATTTAATTCGACCAAAAACTGGCTATTCATTTATTAAAAATAAGTACACACTACGTGTCGACCCACATTGTGGTCCTTTTCAAGTGTTGTTCTTATTCAGCAATTACATTAATTAAAAATAGAAACACGACAGTTGTCCTGTCATATCGACAATCTGTTAACTACTGTGACAGGACTATATGACAGGACAACTGTCGTGTTTCTATTTTTAATTAATGTAATTGCTGAATAAGAACAACACTTGAAAAGGACCACAATGTAGGTCGAAACGTAGTGTGTACTTATTTTTAACAAATGAATAGCCAGTTTTTGGTCGAATTAAATTACATCTTATTTTTTGTAAAAAATTTATCACTGGCGATCAACAATTAATTGTGAAAATATATAATATTCTTTTTATATTTGTGTAAAATATATATATATACACATACATATGTAATATGTAAGGCACTTGAGGAAAGTATATGAATTTTCGTACATACAGCTTCTTCCTAATTACACATCTGAGAAAGCGGAATGAAGAAATAAATAAAAATAGATTTTCTCTACCTCTCGGGGAAAATGAAAAATGTGTGTACGCGATATGAAGTATATATACTTACTTCAGCGATGTATCCTCCTCTGCTTTCAGTTATCGTGAGAACGCCCAGAGGCTTTCGAAAGCTTACCGTGATCGACCTGCCACGCCGTTGGAGACGGCGGTATGGTGGACGGAATACATCGCCCGAGGCAATGGCATTCCTTACTTACGCAGCGAAGGCGCGGATCTACCCTGGTACCAGCTGCATCTCATCGACGTGGCGCTCGTTTTGATTATCGGGTTCGCGGCGTTCATCTACATCTTCTTCCGGCTGATCAAGCTGCTGCTGTCGCTGCTCAAAGGAACAGCCGGAAGCCAGGCTGGGAAGACGAGCAAGCGGAAGAAGGACTGATGACAGACGCGTCGAAAAATCCGCGATTTCCAAGTGAGGAGACGAACAGGATTTTTTTTAGTAAGAAATACTGTTGACTAATTCGTACAAATTACGAATAAATTTAGAGAGGATGTAATGAACGGATAGAAATAAATATCGCCATCGCGGAAGATTCATCTGTCAGAGAATGATATTGGAGGAGTAAAAGAGTGTTGAAGTCGTTTTTTTATATTATTAACTCTTTTGCTTTAAATAATTCTAGGCGAAATTAGAGGAAAAATGTGTGATAAATCCACGTCGATTGGTTTTAGCTTAATTATTCGATCGGCAATTTCTCTTATCCGACCTTAAAACCTGGCGTGGAACAAAGTCATTTAATTTCTGGATAGTTCTGCAGTATTTTATGGTATCCAAGTATAACCGTTAACTGAAACTCTGTCCGAGCAGATGGTGTAAAACTTATAGTTTGCGAGTTTTTCTTTTTTTTTTATTATTTTCTCCTGTTTTACGACAGCGAAACTATCCTTCATTTTCTCCCAACTTGCGTGGCATTAAGCATTTGTTCTTTCATTGTGATTGCAATCGGAGTTAAAGTTTATTACTTTCATTGTTATGTGCAGTGTGTCTAGTATAAGCTCATTCCTTACACATACATTTCAAATAAAATTATAAATTTTAGATAGTTTATTAATTTTGAAAGATTATTCAAACATTAGCTTATGTGTCTAATTTAATAAACCTTTTATAATAAAATACTGTGTCTTTAAGATTAAATTTCCCTTTAATGCATACATACATATATCCCAATTAAAATTCATCAAAAAACAAGAAAACTTTAAATATTTACAAGCTGATCCATTTCGAATAGAGAAGTCTATTTTAACAAACCTTTTATAATAATATACTGTGTCTTTAAGATTAAATTTCCCTTTAATGCATACATACATATATCCCAATTAAAATTCATCAAAAAACAAGAGAACTTTAAATATTTACAAGCTGATCCATTTCGAATAGAGAAGTCTATTTTAATAAACCTTTTATAATAATATACTGTGTCTTTAAAATTAAATTTCCCTTTAATGCATACATACATATATCCCAATTAAAATTCATCAAAAAACAAGAGAGCTTTAAATATTTACAAGCTGATCCATTTCGAATAGAGAAATAAAACAAAATAGAAGAGAAAGAGACGGCATAACACAAAGTGTAGGGAGCAACCGGAAGCATAGAGAAACAGAGAGAGAGAGAGAGAGAAAGGTATACCGAAAGATTGCAAGGAGAGAAAGGAGAATAATACAAGGGGTGGAAAAGGGGGATGAAAATGCCGCGAGAGCACGGGCAGAGAGACGTACGAGAGTGAGGCAGCTTTGCGGGCATTAAGGGGTATTTCCCAGGTGGCCGTGTCTCCCACTGCGTCAACCAGCTTCCGTCCTCCCTCACCGGTTGCAACGGCAAGCAAGAACCAGGACGGGGACTGTCGAGTTTACGACGTTGGCGGTGGCGGCGTCGTTTGCAGCGACGCGATGCCGTCGCTCTTTCTCGTGCCACCTGGCTGCAGGCGGAGCGACACCCGGAGACACCGGTTGCAGCGACAGGCTGCTGATACAGGGAGACCGAAAAATTTCCCAAATTTTTTTCCCAAAGTTGACAAATTTATATTGACGGAAAATTCGACGCGATTATCATTATGCTAATAAATGTATATTTCCGCGAAAACAATTTCGAGAATTTTAATGAAAATTTCGAGCCACCGAGGTATTTAATATCGGGAGAATTAAAAAAATTTTTTTGACAGATAGAGAGAGAGAGAGTAATTTCGCGTGCCCGTCGAAGGAGGATAAAATTGATATTAATTAAAGAATCTCGCAAAATTTACAATCACCCTGTATAAACCGCGGCGAAGAACGACAATGGCAGTCGCTTTTCCGGGAGAACGGCTTCGACGGCGACGCGACAAAGACGGATCGCGTGAGCATCGCGCCGGATTAAATGCGATTCACCTCGGTATACAGAGCGCGGATCTCGTCTCGGCTCCATCGCGGAAGCGGAGGCTTCTCTCTTTATCCACGGGAGCAGACGGCGAGAGTCTTCGTAAAGATACGCGAGACGGTAAACATCGGCTTTCGGTGCTGCTTGGGGGCACTCGCGTGGCGATAATCGCGCGATTATCTATAATCTGAACACTCCAATATTTCTCTTATATTCGGCTGTCTATATTGTTGGCGGGAAAATTTTATGCAAAAAACATCCCTCGTTGATTTTATCCCCGACGGATTTATCGGTCAATTTGTAGATCGACTTTCTTTTCACGCAGTTGAACTTTCGTTATTTCAACCCTTAATTTTAAGTGGAATTTTAAGCTTCATTTATAAGATTATTCAATTTGACATGATGATGTTTAATATGGATTATATTAATTATGTTTGTTGATGTCTGTCGATTTTTGGATATATGATTAAAAGGATCTTACTTAATTAGATTTGATCATTTTTTCACAAGTTATGTACGGAAGCTATCGTGCATTTTTAATAATAAAACAATAGATTTATTATATTTATTATATTTGTTATATTCGACTTTATATATTTTTTCTCTATTCACATTTATATTTTCACACAATCTTTGATTTTTTCTCGTCAGTGGGAAATTTCTCTTTTCGCACAGTTTTCTCTTTTAATCTGGAGAAGTGTGTCCCAGATTTTAAATTCGCGTAAATTCCGTCACGAATTTCCTCTGTCCTAGACTAGATTGTAAACTTAAATTATTGAGAAAAATTATATAAACAGAATAAAAATATACGTCCCACTTTATTTTTGATTATAATTATTTTGAGAAAAGATGAATAATTGAGAGATATGTACGTAAATGCATATATGATGTACACGATATTAAAAAATGCAGCTTAAGTCAGAAATTACTATACATTTTTAGTAAGTGCGAGAAACAGAGGGATGCATCTTCGATGAGTTTCAGAGTTAATCAGGTGTTATATAAGCTTTCGTTATTCCAACCGAAGTACACAGTTGAAAAATTCTGTCAAATTTAACAGATCACATGTTCCAAATGGTCCACAGAAACTTTTGTGTTAATTTAATATGGATATGTTAAATGGAGATACAAATATTGTGTGAGTTAATATTTTAACACAAAATAAATGCAAAACTTCAAATAATTTAAAATAAATTTTGTGTAAAATTAACATACTTTTAATATAGAAATGAACAAACAATATGTTTTAGATTTTATCATCTCCTTATATTATAAAATAGAAAATCAACAATTTTTTCTGCAAATATTTTAACAGATAAATCTTGTCACTAATAAAGCAAAATATATTTATTGTGTAAAATTAAAAATAGATGCACTTTGTGTTATTTTTGCATTTTTTTTCAGTTGTTTTAATAATTTAACATATAAGTACAATTAACAGAACAGTGATATGTTAAATTAACACATGAATGTGTTAAATATTTAACACAAAAATTTGAACAAGAAAACAAATTTTTCTACTGTGCAGCGAAGAAAGAACGCGAGAGAGAGAGAGAGAGAGAGGGTTCGAGATGCAATTGACGTTGCATATCGCGACGCGATAAAAATAATGAGAGTCATGACTTCACGACTGTGACGACACGAAACGCGTCGCGGCGTTTTCATTTCACCCCCGATTCAGGCTGTTGCACGTGACGTTCAAAAACCCCTTAAAACGCACGTGACACTTTAATCGAATCACACAGCGGTGCGCCGCAGAAAGCCGGCGGTATGCGCCGCTACGTGCAGCGATTGCTGCAGCGGCTACACCGCCGCAACGCGACGGCCGAATGATGCCTTTCAACGTATGAAAGACCAGTTTGCGGTCAAATTTGTTCTTTGCCGTCTGCCTTTGATTATTTCGGCGACGATTCTATACGCTTTGTACAACAAGAAAGGAAAGCAGATGCAAAACTGGGAGTGGAAATCAAATTAGATTTTTTAATTTGTCAAACACCAGCTGTGTGTTATCATTTTTATATTTATTACCTACTTTTTATATACCTTTAAAACTTTAAAAACAATCTTTTTAAGAATAAGTATCTCGACAAGGATTTGATTTTATTATCGAGACTTGTATAAATAAAATAATTTTTTTTCCTATAAAACTATTTGGATATTTTATCAAAGAGAAATTTTGTTTGACAAATAGCAAAATATTTTGAAACAGAAACTGGAGCATAAAAGAGAAAATGTATATTTTTTAACGAGATTGTCTGTAAAATATACAAGTAACAAAAATTTGTTTTTCCTTACGCAAAAGTCTATCTAATAAAAGTCCGAGAAAGAGCATAAGAGATAAGTCAATTTTTCTCATTCATCTTTACGCTTTGATGCATCGACTGCGCGTTTACGATGCTTAAAACGTTTCGTAAAAGATGCTCGACGCTTCAATGGAATCACGGTGAATACCGTCTAGCGGGATTTTTCATACGATTGCGAGGGCTGACTTGGAGTTGCAACGGGGTAATTTCTGGATGGACGGAAAGTAGGTCGACACAACGTCAACTCTTTTCCTAACTTTTGCTTGTCTCAACTGCGAGGAAAATTTAGTAAAATCGACGATTGTGAGAAACTACATATGTCGTACTACGTCAAAGTCAATATATGTATTTTAAGCACAGCAAGGAATTTATTTATTTTATTAAAATAATTTATTTAATATTATTAATTTTATTAAAATAAAATAAATAATTTAAAAATTTATTTTATTTTAATAAAATATCGAAAATGTAATTAAGAAAGAATCAAGAAGATTGAAAAATAAAAGTTATAACTATATAAAATTAAAAAAATTAAATAAAATAAAATAATGATTAATGGCCACGAATAAATGATGTCATAGTTTCTTATTTTCCGTCACAAAATAATATAGCGAGTTTTAAATGTGCAACACTGCAAGGCGCAACCGCGTCATGTTAATTTTCTTGTATTTAAGTTAATGCATTTTTGCGAGCATCTTTTTATATTTGTCTCTTTTTCAAGCTCTCTCGCCGGTAAAAGTACTTTCTTCAAAAAGTGCACGTGCGCAGAAGCGTGTATACTGAGCTTTATTGGAGGTGTATACTGAGAAAATTTTATGAATAATTGTATATCTTGCTTAAGCGAAAAAGTTATGCTATCGTATAATCGGGGCGGTAAAAAATTTCAACGCCGCGCTTTTACGCTTCTTTCGTCATTATTGTATATATATATATATATATATATTGTATATATTCATCATGCTTTAATTTATCCTGATAAAATTATAGATAACTTAACTCCGTGTTTTTCGACTGCACTCTGTGTTACAATAATAAAACTCTTCGCGTACACCGGTGCACGAAACCTTTCGTGACTCGGATAAGAATAGACTACCTAGATAAAAAACGATCGTAACTTTTCGCTTTATTCGTCGTTAGATTTTAATTTTCGAGTCAGCGCGAGATTCACCGCGCTGCTGAAATATTTTAAAACCTGCGATGTTGCGAGAGAATAGTTTACGGTTTAATGTGAAAGAACTATAACTTAAAATATTAACTTTTATAGAACAGGTTGTTAGAGATTTTAGCTCTTCTTTAAATCACTTTCTCTCCCTCTCTCTCTCTCTCTCTTTAAGTTATATTTAAAAACAATATATATTTAATTATATAAAATTAAAAGAAGTTTTGGAATTAATATATAAAAATAAGGAAAGATTGTAACAGAGAACGTATGAAATCCGGAATTTTTCGTTGCGAAAAATTCGCAAATC